AGAAACTAGAAAGTGTTGTTTTAGAATGTTTGGCATGTACAATAGATTTATGGGATTGTATAGGACGAGATTATTTATCTTTGGTATAATTAAATTATAATTATTTTTAGCCATTAGATGTCAAAACGGATGGCTGGAGCTGTGCCATGAAGTTCGAGAAATTTGTTTTTAAATTTTGAGTCTAATTAATGACACACTCACAATTATTCGATTTAAAATCTAATAAATAATAGTGGTTGTAGCATTTTTATACCAAAAGTAAATGGTCTCTTTTACATATTGGCCTTGGGCTTGGGTGATTAATAGCTAATATTTAGCAGTGTTGCATTTGAAGCTCAATTCCAGCCATTGAAATACCAATAAAAAAAAAAGTATGCATTCTTTTTTATACTTTCTTAGATATTATGGGCATTCTGAAATCATTTAAAACATATGCATTCTTTTTTATACTTTCTTAGATATTATGGGCATTCTGAAATCATTTAAAACAATAAATAAAACATTAAATTCTTCATCTTAGATTGTTTAGAATAAATTTTCTTGAAATTGAGAAACGTAATATTTGCTAGTGAAACACCATACGACAAATATGGTACACCACCATTTTATCCCCTGTAAATGCAAAATTTTGATGACTATTAAGCGTAGTTCTCGCTTTCTTGGCGTACGCTTCTCTCTTGTGGCCAAATTGAGATAACCCAAATGCTTACTTGATGAGGTGAGTTCCTCACATCAATGAATCCAACACCCAAACAAAATGCCCAAAAACTATAACATGTGCAATATATTTTCAAAAATATAGAAACAAAAAAAAAAAAGTAAAATGAGAAATCTTAACCACGACACAAGTAAAAGTAGAAGATATACACAAATTTATATGGTTCGTCCAAAATAAGTTCCATCCACAACCAAGAGGCAATGGTGCTTTCATTATCAATGAAAGAAATTTACTGGTTTGTGGGTTTGTAGATATTACATCATACAATAGAAAAGAAAGTTCAATTAGATTTTTCATACCACAATACTATCATCAATCGACTTATCTCTTCATCACTGTCGACCAAGAGCTTTGCTGCGAAGAAATGCTGATGAAAAACCGGCGTAATACATAGCCACAAATGATGGTAGGGTTTGTACAAAAATCCCAATTTTTATCCCCAAATCTACACTTTTTTCTTATTTTTCTCTTTCAAAAAATACACTTCTATGAGCCTTCATAAAATGCCTTTTTTCTATGATAAAAATCCCCTGAAGAAAGGGGGAATGCCATGTAGGAGTAATTTTACATCACGTCCCAACAATCTCCATGTTGATGCAAAATCATATCCTTGCTTTGCCAAACCCTTATTTCTTTTCTTTTATGAAAACAAGAGAAGTTGGGCTCCATTCTAAATTCTCTACTTTGATGAGTTCTGTAAGCAATATCCGTAAGATTGTCTCCCCAATCGAATTCTTCCATCTTCAATGAATTGTCGAATATAATGATATCATATCAGTATGTGTGTTAACCTCTTATGGTGAACCGAGTTCTTCGCCAAGTGAATAACACCTTATATTATGACAAAATAATCCCTTATGCTTGCACATAATGCCCCATCGCACTCATATATTTGGCTTGGATAGTTGATAATACTATTGTGTTTTGAAGCCTTGACATCCAACTTATTGGTCCATTTGCAAGCTGGAAAACAAATGCGGTAGTTGTCATACCTCTATTAATATCACCGGCAAAATTTGCATCTACCTTGCATTGAAGTTGAGCCATTACAAAATGCGATTGAATTACTAATAGTGCATCTTAAGTACCGAAGCATCAATTTTGTTGCTCCCCAACTAATCGTTTTAGGGTTCGCCATAAACCGACTTAGAACACCAACTGCATGGGCAATATCCAATCTAATACAGACCATGATAAACATTAAACTTTCAATCACATTTTCATAGGACACCTTAGCCATGCTTCTTCTTTCTTCTTTCGTCTTCGAACTTTGCCTTGAAGACACTTTGAAGTGACGCGCTAGCGATGTTTTCAATGGTTTTGTATTTTTCATGCCAAATTTTTCAAGCCCCTTTTGTATATAACTCATTTGAGATAGCAACAAAATTCTATTTTGCTTCTCTTTCAATTTCAATACCAAGGATTTTCCTTGTGGGCCAGAGATCATTCATCTCGGATCTTTTGCTCAATGATGCCTTGAACTCATCAATTCTAGCCTTATCCTCACACCAAAGCATGCCGTTCATATATAAGACTAAAACCAAGTGTGTACCATCATCAAACAACTTAAATAAACAAATATATTTATTTTTTAATTTACACACAAGTCTTTTGCCCTTCTTTATGAAGCCTTCTAATTGTTGCATGTACACTTCCTCTTCAAGTTCCCCCTATAAAAATGTCATATTCATATTTATTTGATCAAGTTCTACATCATATATGGCAATTAACCCAAGTACGAAATAAATTGAGACCAACTTGACTACCGATGCAAAAATCTCATCAAATTCAATACAATGTTTTTGTGAAAAACCTTTTCCACTAATCTTGCCTTATACTTTTCAAGATTTCCATTTGATACATTTTTTACCTTGAACACCTATTTATAACCAACAATTTTTCTATCTTTTAGTAACTCTACCAAATCTCAAGCCTTGTTTGTTTGAACGGCTAATATCTCTTTTTCCATTACTCTTTTCCAATACTTGGTATCAATGGTTATTCATTTTTCAACTATAAAAGCATACAAAATATTTGAATCTACATAATCTTGTATCACTTGAGTGCATGGGGTTCTCTACTAGAGCACCAATGTACCAAAGGCACAACTTTATCCTGATGGCCATGTGGTTCTTCATCTTGATTTTTTTATTCTTCATGTTCTTCAACATGATCAATGGGTATATTTTCATAATGTATAGTTGCACTTAGTGGAAGTATATTAAGGTTGCCTCCAAACTATTGGCTCTTTTGTTGCACTTATTGATCATTGTCCTTCATCATCATTATTTGTCAATACCTTGGGTTTATCAAAATGCACATCCTGATAAGTAATTATTTTTGGGGCACTAGGATTTTATAATTGGTACCCCTTCACACATTTGCTATAACCCACAAAGATGCACTTCTTTGACTTTTTTGGGCACTAAGATTCTATAATTGGTATCCCTTCACACATTTTGCTATAACCCACAAAGATACACTTCTTTGACTTTGGATTCAACTTATTCCTTTGGCAACTTGAAATAAGTGCATAAGCATCACACCAAAAAAAATTTAAATCAGAGTAATCACTGGGAGTTCCACATCATACTTCATTAGGAATTTTGCTTCCCAATGCTACCGAAGGTGACCGGTTTATGAGATAGCAATCCAGTGATATGCCTTCTACCCATAATTCTTGTTCTAGACCGACATCCATCAAAGTGAGATTCATTCTCTCGGCCACACCATTTTGTTGAAGATTGTAAGCATTTGTATAATGCCTAGTAATTCTCTCGGCTTTGTAAAAATTATCGAATTCCTTTGATACAAACTCTCTACCATTATCCACTGTAAGAACTTTGATGTGAGCCCAATAAATTTTTCAACTTTGGCTTTAAAATTTTTTAATGCACAAACCACATCACTTTTGGACCGGAGAGTTTTGATCTATACTTTTCTTGGGAAGTAATAAATAAATGAAACAAAATATAATGCACGTCTATAAGATCTAGTTGGTGAAGGCCTCATACATCCGAATGAATGTAATTAAGTTTGCTCTTACTAGTATGCTACTCGGCCTTGAAAGGTTATTTCTGTTAGTTCACAATGCTCACAAAGTTCAGATCCATTAATTTTAAGTGTAGAAATAAGATTCATCTTATTTATCAAAAAAAGAAGAAATAAGAGTCATCTTCATCAAGACTTCCATATTCTTATCACTTGAATTTCCCAATCTTCAATGCCATAAGAAAAATGAAACTCTATAAGAGGTTTAAATAATTAAATCCCTTAAATCATATTTGGGTGTGGTTTTTATAAGGTTGTAACTTTAAACGTTTCAATTAAGGCCCACCTCCAAAATTTATCATACACATGTAATTTTGTTGTAAAAAATTCTTAGGATTATCTGAAAAAATATTTTTATATCTACTTATAAAATTTCAAACTTTAAAAATGGCTAAAATCCAATACATCTATAAATATATGAAAATATTAAAAATAGACGATCTAGATAATATGTTTTAAGATGTATTATTTTTAGGATTTCAAATATTTGTTTTTTTCATATTCATATATCTTGATGTCGAGATCATCTAGATGATCAATTAAAAAGCTTTTCAACATTAAAACATCTTTTTTCCATAAATTTTTGAGGTGCATCTTTAATCCTACGTTTCAGGTTACACATCATATAAACTTTTTCCATCATTATTTTCGCTCTCACGCTGGTCAGGTGCTCGCCATAATGGCAGTAATTTAGACTTCCTTCCATTGGATTCTCGGCGTGCAAAGGTTCCTTTCTATTTTGGATGTACCCTCTCTTTGTACTCATCTAAATTCATCTTTGTTTTCTGTCTATGGTGCTCGCCATAATGGCAGTAATTTAGACTTCCTTCTATTGGATTCTCGGCGTGCAAAGGTTCCTTTCTATTCTGGATGTACTCTATCTTTGTACTCATCTAAATTTATCTTTGTTTTCTCTCGGTCTACGGTGTGGTTTCGATAATGTTAGGCAATCCATTTAAGGTGTATTTTCAAATTTTATTATAACATATAATTTTGATGTAAAATGTTTATAAGATTATGTGAAAATCTATTTTTAAATCTAATATAAAATTTTAAATTTTAAAAGTGATTAAAATCAAATAGATCTATAAACAAATAAAAATCTTAAAAAATGGACAGTAAGATGTACCTTTTTTGAAACTCAAAATTCTTTTTTTATTTCATAATCATATATTTCAATATATTTCGATGTGGAGATGATCAATAAAAGGGTTTTTCAATGCGGAGATGATCAATTTCGATATAAACTTTTCTCCTCTCTCTAGACCACCGCATCTTTATAATGGGTAAATTTTTACTCCACATTTCCTAGGGGACAGAGAGGCCTTATATTCATTAGGAGGCAAACAAGGAAGAAACAACGCAGGGGCAGGCGAGGCAAATGAAATGAAGTCCACCACGCCCCGAAAAAGCCGTTTCCCTCTCCTCTTCTTCTTTTTCGCTTTCTTAGTCATCGCCGCTCTCCTCTACGGCGAAGACTTTAGCTGCGCTCTCTTTCGCTCTTTCACCCCAATTCCTTCTTACCAACCCCTCCTATCTTCTCAATCTGCAACTGGTAAACATCTCTCCCCTCTCTCTCTTCTTTCTCTCTCTTCTGAAATTATTGGGTGAAGCACAGTTTCAGGATAAAGAGCTGAGCGTTTTATGGTCTTAAGAAGCCGATCGGAGCGATAAATCATATGTATGTTTTTTTCCTGCAAATGTGTCTGGTACACTATCAGCCTTCTATCATGCAATCGGCCATTGGAAAGACCCATTTGGGCAAATTTCCCATGGATGTATCATGTATGATTATCAGCCATGGACCCATGATGGGTAAAACCCCCAATTCATGTATGCCTCCATGGAATCATGTATATGTATGTGTATTGACTAAATTGGGCTGATTGTTCTCTCTTCCTTATTCACTGTATTTGGCCCAGTTATTGACCCATTTGGAGATGAGGAAATTATTTGTGATTATGCATTTTGTATGAATTGAACGATTTGATGGTCGAATGTAATCTCGAAATTTATGTATTTGAATGTATGTGTGTGTGTATATATTGGAGAGTGTGACTGAAACTTTTCTTAGGGATCCAGTCGCGGAAGCCCACTGGCAGCTACTCAGAGGCGGATCTTCGCCGGAAATTGGGTCTGTTGAGGGTGCCGTTCTCCTTTGAGGAATTTTCCGGCGACTGTGACTTGTTTTCCGGCAAGTGGGTCTTCGACAATGGGTCTCACCCATTATATGAGGAGAAATCATGTCCTTACATCCAGCCACAGTTGACTTGTAAAGAACATGGACGGCCCGATTCAGACTACCAGCATTTGAGATGGAAACCTCATGCGTGCTCGCTTCCCAGGTATTTTTCTTTAAAAAGTATTATTTCTGAGGAAAACAATGGATAGAAGATTGTAATTATATTTTTCTGTCAATTGAGTTATATTATTTTCCCTTTTTCTTAATTTGTAATCGGATGTCAATTTGGCCCCGGGTCAACCAGGACTTGGGAACGGGCCGGGCCGATACCGGAGCCAAGTAACTTGGGCAGGTCCATAAAAGGTTAAAAGAATAAAAAATATCAAAAAATAAAGAAAACTATATATATATATAGTAAAATTAAAATAACGCTTAAAAAAAGTAGTGACAAAATATATTTTGAAAAAATCAATTTGTGGTAGGGGTATTTTAAAAATAAAACAAAAATTTAAAAATAAACATTCGTTGCTAAAAACTCTACCCAATTTTTGCCAAAATTATAGGAAACATAAAATATATATTACAACTAAATTTCATATTTTTTAAACTTTTTATAATTTTTTTGAATTTTTTTTTTAAGATCTATCGAATAGTCAGAGTTAGCTGGCGGGAGTTTTTGAACACTAATTTGTGGAGTTCATATTTTATTAAGAGGAAAACGTTTATATAAGGGTGAGGTCCTAAACAATCAAATTAAGGTGCACCTCAAAATTTCACTTAAAGAAGTTAGAAGTTGTTTGGATGTTTAAAAATCCTTAAATTGATTATAGAAATGAGAAAAAATAAATTTCAAGTTTTGAAAATACTATATCTTGTAATGTATTTTCGGACCATCAATTTTCAAGTTTTTCAAGCTCAATCTACCTTATTTTTGAAGCATTAAATTCTATAATTAGAAGTGAAAATAAATTTTCAAACCATCACAAAGATATTAAAAAACAGCATCTTTTAACACCATTTGAAGGTGCGCCTTATTTTGATTGTTTAAGGCCTCGGCCTTATACAAATCACAACCTTATTCAAATCAATTTTTTTAATAAGATAGAGGATTGGATGGGTACAATTTATTTTACTATTACAGAAATTCAAATTTTATAATGCTGGCGCGATTTAGGGGCTGGAATGGGATTGGTTGGACATTTGCCCTAGGGTCAAAGGAAGGGTTAAGTTTTCCAAGAAAGGCCCTGCAAACCTTCCATTATTCTCAGGAGATACCCTTCAGACTACAGAGGTTATTATCATCATCACATTGGTTGGCATAATGGCACATGCCAACAGTTCTTTAAAATTTTACAGCACATTTCCTATAGTTTTCAAAAATAGCATATGTTGTTTTATATTTGTTGACTTTTTTTATTTTATTTATTTATTTTTAAATCTACTCTTCAGTTGTGTGTAAATTGTAGTTTTATCATATAAGAAGCAAAAATTGTAAAAGGACCTTATAGAACATGTAAGGAAAATAAAATAGAGCAGGGAAAATTATTTTTCTTTCTTATTATTTTGTCCAAGTCTAGCCTATTTTTATAATTGATTTTTCCTTTCTCATAGAAGAGACAAAAATTGTAAAAGGAAGTTACAGAACATGTAAGGAAAATAAAATAGAGCAAGGAAAATGATTTTTCTTTCTTCTTATTTTGTGCCAGCAGCTTATTTTTGTAACTGATTTTTCCTCTCTTTTTCATGCGCTCCTTTTTTCTTCTTTTTTTTCCACTTTTTCTTAAGATTTTACTAAACCTGTGCTGCAATGAAATCGCTTGATAAAATTATCTCAAGAAGAAATTCCTGAGAACAGCAATGCATAATATTGAGACAACAGAATTCGGCTTGGGCAATTAGGAGATAGTGGAATTTAGCAGTTCTCAATTTGGAAAGAAAGTCGAAAACGTAGAAAAACCATTACAAAAACACTGTTAATGGATTCAACATATCTAAAATTAGGTCCTTGAAAAATAGCAAAATTCTCTACCGAGCTGAATCAAATACCTCAGGTTGTGGCAATTTTAGAGAAATTTTTAAATTTCAGGTAACTTGTTTCTTGGAAGCATCTTTGAAAGTACTGCATGAGTGTGTGTGTGTGATGCCTACATGGTTGAATATCAGTTCAGCTCAACTCTCTCTCTCTCTCTCTCTCTCATATGTGTGCGATATGCTTCAATGGTTGACGATATAGGTTCAATGCCACACTTATGCTGGAGAGGCTGCGAGGGAAGAGGATGATGTATGTTGGAGATTCACTGAACCGTGGGCAGTTTGTTTCGATGGTGTGTCTCCTCCACTCTATCATCCCCGACGACGCCAAATCCTTTTATGCCAATGACTCTCTCACTGTTTTTACAGCTAAGGTTCTTCTCTCAAACCTTTCTTTTCTCTTTATTGTTTCTCTTTTGTGTTATTGAATCCGAAGTTGGGGAACTGAATCTTGAAACCTACTAAGAACTGCATTTGCTTTTCCCCAACAATTTGGGTTTCGGTGAGAACTGTTGGGAAAAGCAAAATTCGTTATCTTTTATGTGCACCAATGGAATTCAATCACAAAATTCAGAGAAAGAAAACATATAATTGCAGTCCATCCAATAAAAGAAATAAGCAAGAAAGGTAGTCGCATCAACTTTTACATGGAAAATCGTTATAAGAAGAGAATACCCCTGACGCAAATCTGATCATCTACCTTGTAAAATATATGGAGCAGACAATAATCTCCCCTAATTAATTTGGACTCCCTTTGTCGATGTTTGTGGCTGATATGCTTGTCTGTTGTCACTTTGCCATTTCAAACTTTAGACTACTTCCTGCCAAAACTGTCTGTGTGTTGTTTGTGTGTGCGTGTGCATGTGCGTGTGCGTGTGCGTGTGATTGCTAAAATTTTCTCATCTCTCTTTTATTACAAATTTTGGATTGATTTTCTGCCAAAACTCCCCTGCTACCACTCTCATTCACGTTTTATCTGTTTATGACAAGATTGAATTTTGGATTTCAGGATTATAATGCTACGATTGAGTTCTATTGGGCACCCTTCTTGGTTGAATCAAACTCTGATAATGCAATCGTACACAGGATTACAGAAAGAATGGTTAGGGCCAGATCCATCACTAAGCATGCAAAGCATTGGAAGGGAGTTGACATTCTTGTTTTCAACACCTACCTATGGTGGATGACTGGTACAAGGATGAAGATCCTGTAAGCCCTCAAAAGATACTTTTTCTAATTTATATTTTTTTGTCGTTTATTCTTGGGGAAAATATACTATGATCAACTGGACTGTAGAAAACCATAGCCTATTTTGGGTCATGCCCATCCAATTAAATGATGGATGATGTTGGAGAAAGGCCTACTATTCCATCATCAACAATCATTTCACTCGGCATTGATGTTCCCAAGGTTATAGTTTTCCACAGTTCCATCGGATTATTTTATACTCTTTCTTTTTTTCTTTTTTTTTATTTTTTCTTCCCTTTGTAATCACAACCATTATTGTTTTTTCTCTTTTATTGCCATTCCGCCATTAAATCGGTGAATAGCACCTTTTTTGAAAGTTAACCTTTACCTCAAAGAAACACCTTTTTTGAAATGCCAATACCTTCTAAATCAACTTGTCAAGGGGGTGAGTTTTATGAATGCAAACTTTGGGATGTGTCCAAGTTCTCCAAGTAGGGATTTCTTTTTCTTATAAATTCTTCATACAAAATTTGAAGAATTCACACAATTTTTCCAAGTTAACTATCTCTCAGGGAGCTGACTCTGTTATGGCACTTGCTAGGTCAGCCACCAAGTTAGAGTATTTCAACATCAGATTAGATTTAAGCGCTCTAATTATTTTTTTCCTTTTTCTCTTCTAGGCGGGGGCCTTTTGGGGGAGACATGAGGCACATTGTGCCAATGGAGACTGAAGACGCATACCGCCTTGCTTTAAGGAGTATGGCTATATGGGTCGAGAAGAACATGGATCCTCACAAAACCAGAGTCTTCTTCACGAGCATGTCACCTGCCCATGAGAAGTGAGTGTGATATCTCTTCTTGCCTTAGTGCATCTATTTTAAATTTAACTGGTTTTTATGTTACTTCGCTTCCCATGTACAATCCTCTGTCTCTCTCTGATAAATCGGAGACTTGCAGGAGTAAGGATTGGGGACCAGAGACAGAAGGCAATTGTTACAACGAGACCACCCCCATTGAAGACCCCACTTATTGGGGGAGGGGCTCAAGCAAGGGCATCATGAGGGTTTTAGGCCAGGTCCTTAGTGGGATGAAGGTTCCTGTGACCCTTTTGAACATAACCCAGCTCTCAGAATATAGAAAGGATGCTCACACTTCAATTTACAAGAAGCAATGGAATCCATTGACCCCCGAACAACTAGCGAACCCTGTAAGTTATGCAGATTGTGTACATTGGTGTTTGCCCGGTCTTCAAGATACATGGAATGAGCTTTTGTATGCTAAACTCTTTTTCCCTTAGATCACAAGCCTAAGAGGGCTATTTTTGTTGTCTCCTCTGTGTTATTTCTGCCTTTCAAGGCCAGATGGGGCAGGCTTTGTTTTTCTCTGGAGTAGTTTGAGTGTGTTTGGAGTGCATTGAGAATTTGTTTGGAGAAAGTCATGTAAAATGTGTTCGATTCTTTTGTTTAGTTTCGATTCATTGGCCTCTCACTCTATCTCTCGCTGGAAGTCTTGATTAGTCACCAACTATCACGCGGAAGCTCATTTACTATTAACACTTTTTCTGTCAAGTTTTGTATGTCTTGGTCACCAATCCTCTTTGGAGCTTATTTCATTGAAACATTGCTTATTTAGAAGGAAAGTTTTATACTATTAGAACATATTTCTAAAACTCAGCCAAGGGAACTCGGCCTCGGCCCATAGGAGAGGCGAGATTTGGGCCAGTTAGTTGTACACAATGTTTTAAAAGTTTAAGTACAATATTACCATAATTTTATATTAGATACGGTACGATGGCTTTGTGGTTCACTTTAAGGAATAAAGTTTACCCCTGTTCGATTCAACGTTACAAAAAAAAAAAAAAGGGGGGAAATTACAAAAAACTCTCAAGACCACATTTCTTATGCAACTTACCCCCAATTTAAGTTTTTCTTTCACTTTTTTTCAAAAACACACTTTATATGCAAATACCCCTCAAGGGAAAAATTTTATTTTATTTAGATGGAAATGCCCTTCCCGTAGATAGAAATCAATTTGGCCAGATTTGACGTTGACTTTCGGAGCTCATTGCTGGAGCGAACCACTGTAGGGCTGGAGCGCATGATCCACTGCGGGAGTACACATACACAATGCTGGAGCACTGTGACTCCAGATTACACTGCCATAACTTACTTACATAGTGTCGAAGCATATGATCCACTATCGAAGTGCACGTAGACAGTGTCGGAGTGTTGTGAGTCCATAGTGTTGCACCATCGGAGCATACTTACACAGTGCCGGAGCGCGTCATCTACTGTCGGAGAGCACATACACAGTGCCGGAGCGCATCATCTACTGTCGGAGCGCACATACATAGTGCCGGAGCACATTTTCCACTGTTGGAGCGCACATAGACAGTGCTGGAGCGTTGCGATTTCAGAGTGTTCAACTGCAGGGGCGCACTTACACAGTGCCGAAGCGCTTCATCTATTGTCAGAGCGCACATACACAGTGCCGAAGTGTTGTGACTCCAGATTCCACTGCCGGAGCGCACTTACATAGTGCCAGAGCTCATTATCCATTGTCGGAGCGCACATAGACAGTGCTAGAGCATTGTGACTCTAGAGTGTTGCACTGTTGGAGCACACTTACGTGGTGCACTCCACATCTATTGCCGGAGCGCACATACACAGTGCCGGAGCGTCGTGATTCTATATTTCACTACCGGAGCATACTTACACAGTGCCAGAGCGCATAATCCACTGCCGGAGCGCACATAGACAGTGCCGGAGCACTGTGACTCCAGAATATTGCACTGCCAGAGCGCACTTACACAAAGGAGAGAGAGGCATGGGTAAGGTAAAACTAAGGGAGGGTAGTTTAGCCATTTTTTTTATTTTTTATTTGGTTGGAGGGTATTTGCATAGAAAGTATATTTTCGGGAAAAAAATGAAAGAAGTTAGGTTTGGGGTAAGTTGCATTGAAAGTGTAGTCTTAGTTAGGTTGGGGGTAAGTTGCATAGAAAGTGTAGTCTTGGGAATTTTCCCAAAAAAAAAAAAAGCAGCCCACTAAGAATGGAGCCTAAAGATGTCTTTTAACATAAGACAGAAGAACCAATATGCTACACTTACTTCGGTCGGTAATAAAAGATGTACTTATAATATACTTAACCATTATTTTTTTCATTTTTTATTTTTAAAATTGAGTTGGACTCGGGGAAGTTACTTGGACTTGTCCGAGTAAATTACCTTAGCCAGGTCCCGAGTACCTTGGCCGAGTTGATTTTTTAAACACTACTATAGAATTAAGGTGCACATTGAAAATCTTGTAGAAAATAGTGTTTTGAAGTTGGAAAACCTTCCAATTGATATCTCAACCTTCAGATGTGTGGATTTAAAGAAAATAAAGAATTTCAAATCCGAAAGATAGTGCATGTAACAAGATATTTGGACCACATATTTTCAAGATTTTTAAGTGATTATAGATCTACTCGGTTTACTGATTTTAAATTTAATAATTAGAATTGAATATAGATTTTCCAGTTATCATTAGGTTTATAATACACGGAAACTATATCTTCTAACAAACTTTAACAAACTTTGAAGGCATATATTACTTGTATAGTCCAAGGTGAACACCTTATACAAACTTCACCTAGTGTTTGTAAAGTCAGCTGATACAACTTGGAACCAGCCGATTAAACCGGAACCAGGCATTGGCAAATCTGGTTTGGTGGTCCTACTGGGTATTTAAAAAAATATAATAAAAAATATGGGATTTGTTTGTTATATGGTTTTGAATGTCTTTTATCATTTTGGAAAAGATTGGAAAATGTTTTGGCCATGAATACTATATTTATATTTTCTTCTTTCTTGGATTACTTCTAAAATATCCCTGGGCACAAAATTGATTTTTTAAAATCCATTTCTTTTGCAACTTTTCAACTTCATTTGGATTAATTATTTTTAAAAATACTTTCTATATTTTTTGGATTTTTTTGTACACTTTTTGGACCAGCCAAGATCTGCCTAGTTAGGCTAGGTGAATTGTGTTGTGCGCAGAACTTCTAAATCCGATGGGTTGATGATTTTTAGTAAATAAAGTACGTGAAAAAATAATCGATAAAAACAAGCAATTAGCAACAAAAATAAAACATGAAATAAATAATAGAAAAAGAACATCAGGATTTACGTGGTTCGTCACAGATGTGACTACATCCACAGGCGAAGACGATTGATATTTTTCATTAAATCAAAGAAAGAAAATTACAAAGCAACTTACTTGAGAGAACTAGAGACTCAATCTCCCACAAATCCTTCTTCTCTATAATTTTCTCTCTCTGTAAAAATACCTAAAAGTTTTCTTCTATTTTTTTGGATATTTTTTTCTCTTTAAATAACCCATTATGTAGAAAAAGCAAACCACAAATAGGTGGTACATGGGGCTTTATCCTTTCCTATAAAATTAGGATTATTAACTTTATCCATTTCTACTTGTGGACCTAAGGCTCTATCCTAATCTAAGTAGGACTCATCCACAAACTTAGATCCTAAATAATAAGCTCTACCCAAATAAATAAGAAACCTAAATTAAAGGAAATCAATCCCTTAAAATTAGGGATTCAAGAATTCAAGATAAATATCAATAAATCTCACCTTGATTTGAATTCCAAAAGATATTCCCATCGACCGTCTTCTCCACACGTGCCTCCATTGGTGCTCACTTGGGCAACACATTAGTCGAGTCCAAACATAGCTTGAACTTCTATAATGGAACCAGCTTTGTCAACATATCTGCAACATTTTTCTTAGTGTCAATATTCAATAACAAGATATCACCTTCAGCTATGATCTTACGAATAAAATGATATCTGACATCAATATGCTTCGTCCTTGCATGATATATCTGATTCTTCACCAAATGTGTTGCACTCTTACTGTCACAATAAATAACAGTCATATCTTGTCGTAAGCCCAAATCGCTTACAAGTCCTCTAAGCCAATGACTTTTTTCACTGCCTCAATAACAACTACGTATTCTGCTTCAGTTGTAGACAACGCAACTATAGTTTGTATCATCGACCTCCAACTAATTCGAGCTCCTACAAGTGTAAACACATAACCTGTAGTAGATCTCCTACAGTCTAAATCACCTACAAAGTCAGCATCAATATAACCAACAACTTTGTCACACACTTGTTATCTCTATCAAACGTCAAACCCACATCTGTTGTACCTCTTAGGTAACGCAGAATCCATTTTATCGCATGCCAATGCTCATTTCCTAGATTAGCCATATATTTGCTAACAACACTAATGGCATGAGAAATATCTGGTCGAGTGCAAATCTGTAACAATATTAACTAAAATAAATAAAATAAATATAATAATAATATTAATAGTATTAACAGAAATCAATACAAGAAAAATAAATAAATAAATAAAAATAATAATAAGTATATATTAGTAATGATAATAATAATAATAATACTAATATACCGTTAGAATATTGTTGCTTTTATATTAACAATAAATAAAAGATATTATTGTTAATATATTTGAGGGTTCAATTTTACTTGGGTGAACCTTAAGTCCACCATCTTAAACCTTTATGTTAACACCTCTTATTACAACACCTTGTATCTGTGGTGTTTTCCTTTTATTCGACTCTCTCTCTCTCTTCATCATTCCAATGAACCTGTACTATCTCTCACCTCTTTTAGATAATCAAAAGGGAAAGTCATTTCCCTTGCACTTTGTCAAAAGAAGAATCTGCCCCTCTCTCTCTCGTCGTGTTTCCTAAAGTAGGTCATGTCTTCTCGCCTCTTCCCAAGAAATATTTTAGGTAAGTGACATCGTCTTTCTGAAAAATAGTCTGTTTTTAATAAATAGTGATATTTCCGTTCAGAATCTTTATTTTATAAGTTTTGTGTGTAAGTGAGCTTATTGTCTCGAAAAATAATTCATTCTTTTTTAAAATAAAGTGAAATAATTATTTCTACTTATTATCATGAATTTTAGGCGCGATAAATTTTATGCGCACACGGCCTCATTATCTTGAAAAATAATCTTTTTAATAAAAATTGTGATATTTTATCTATGTTAGAAATTTTAAATGCTGTAAATTCTTAGAAAAATAAATTTATTTATTTTTCTTGTCTATTGTTAGAAAATTTTAGATACTGTAAAATTATTAAAAATAAATGTAATATTTATGCTGTTAGTAAAATTGTGAGAATTCTTTCTACTGTTTTTGAATATTTAGACGTTGTAAATTTTATGTGCAAATGACTGCCTTATTAATTGAAAACTGATATTTTTGCATTTGATTATAGCATTGTCTGTGAAATGTTCATTTGTCAATTGATATCCCATAAATTGTGATAATTCCGTATTCTTGAATTTCTATAAGAGTTTTTCTATACATATTAAATTGGCAATTATGCTAGAATGTCTTTACGAACTGCTACCTTTCTAAATTTAAGCCCAAA